CTATAAATGGTGAACAAATAATAACAGAAACAAAAGGCTATATAAAGGTAATCTACCCACATATCTTCCAACAAAGACAGTGAAATGAGCATAAAAGCATCTGCATTACGCTAATACTTCATTCCCATATCTTTTCACTTGAAATGTTGTACCATTTCTACTGGATTTGCCTCATTTATGGCGCAAAAGGTGCCGTCGACGTGGCAATAGTTGACTGCAACAAAGGTGTTCCAGATGGAGGAGGAATGATTCACCAACGACCAACGGTCCATCCACAACTTTGTGCACGCATCGACATACCTGCGTGTATTGCAATATTTGATATCAAGGGCAATCCAGAAGATGAAAACAGTATTGCTGCGACGATCCAATCTCATTCAAATCCGTAAGTATTTGTTTTCCTTACATCTCAGATCCTAATCTGGGACGTCGATCTTTTAATATAGATTAAAATATTTTAAAAATACAAGACTGTACAAAGTCTAATTCAGAAACGTAGATTACATGATACCGGCATCATGCACGGATGCTGCATTGAAAAGTTTCGCTCAAAACACTTGTACAAGTCGTTGTGCATTTTGCTGTATGACAAAACAGTATAATTGTGTTAATGGTAAGCAAAGGCTTAAAAGTTTAAAATGAACTTAAGTTATTTACTTAAATTATTTCTTTATTAATTATATATTTATATAAATATATTTATATATAAATATATAAATATATTTATTTATATTTATATATAAATATATAAATGTAAATGCATATAAATATGAATATATTTATATAAATTTTATTTTATTATTAATTTTATTATTTTTGCGAGATGAAAAAGTTCTTTTTCCTTCTTCATTCATTACAGAAGGAGGCGCGCATTGTGAAGCTTTTACGTTTTACGTCATCGGGTAATGCAGAAATCCATCGCTTACTGATATATCACTAAAGCGATGCCCGCAGAAATGCGGTCTTTGCGACCAACCAGGAGCAAATGGTATGTGCCCAAACACACTTGGCGATGATGTATGCAACGCGTTGGTAGCCGTAATTTGCACCAATGACAAGACGAAGAATTCTTGTCAAAAAACGTGCAGATTGAATACGTGCTTAGGTTAGTTTATAATTTGTACTATTATTAGTCAATAAACTGAAAGGCTAGAAAGGTAATTTGAATGACTTCTTAAAACCTAAGACCTAAGATCTAATATTTTATCTTCTTATATTTCAATATATTCAGCTCAGTACGATTGAAATTGAATTGACCTTGAATTGACCTTACTGTGATAATTTATACGTTTCAGCAAACCAAAATGGAAATGGAACAGCAGTACGACCAACTTGCCGAGACGAACAAAGATGTTCTGATTATAGATCCGTATGCAGAATGGAACCTTTTGCACGTGAGATGAGAATTAAATGCCGATTAACTTGTGGCTATTGTTCCCCATAAAATTGGTTTTAATAAAATCGCGCTTCATTTTCATTAAAATTTTATTTATTCCAAAAAAATGGAAAATTTAGTAAAATAAAATTATTGGAATACGACTGTAAATAGTAGATTAAAATTATTAATTAGAAACAGTAGGATGATGCTCGTCTGCTACGCGTTAATTATAAATTATAATAGATAATCTTGATCCGACCTGCTTTATCAGGACAGTAGAAAAAACATTGATCACCACACTTATAATAAAAATCTTTATTGGTTGCCTCAAACTTGGGTAATAAAAACCAATAGATTAAAAGGCAAAATATAGGAAAAGAATAAAGGGACAAAGGACATATTAAACGAATGAATGTTTTAATTTTTAATATTAAATATTAATGTTGGGACCCAACCGCTTGATGATGCCTAAAAATGGAAAAAGAATGATAAGGTGCCTTAAAAGACAGAAGAATGATTTTCATAAATATACAGCATATACTGAAAATTGTCCTCTATATTTTATTGACATATGAAGTGCAATAACCAAAGAATCGATTAAGAAAGTTTTCTCTGGCGGTTCGGAATCACCGGTTTGAATTAATGATTTAAGAAAAGACATCGCATTTCGCGACAACGACAGTTATTGTTTCAAACACTCGATGCCTTTTTTTATTTTTTCAAATATTATGACAGCTAAATATATATGTTTAATTTGTTTAATAGGCATTAAAAAGAGGATGTTAAGTCAATTTTAGCAGAAAGACTCAAATTTTGCAATATTTGATTATTTATGCATCATTTAATCGAGAATGTGGAGAAAAAAATAATTGAAAAGGAATAATTTTCATGCACAGTTTATATAATGGTAATTTATAGTTTATGGATTATAAAAAGAATATTATATGCAACAAACCCCAGTAAGCTGGTAACAACTGATAGAATTTTTGTCCTAAACTTTTTAGCCTTTTTTATTTATTATATATTGATTATTTGTTTTAATGAGGCATATATTTTTAATTTTTCCTATCTCTGCGAGGAAAATTATAAGAAGGATTTACCTGAAAGTGTTAGGGCTGCAATTAAAGGACCCTTCGCATCATCCGAATTTATTATCTTTATTACTTATTATGGTTGTTTCATTTAGGGAAGAATGCTGAAAACATGAGTCGCAATGGCTTGGCTTAGACATTAATCTGTTAATGCACTATTAATTATCCAAGGTTATCATAAAGAAGTATTCGGTCTATTATAATGTGCAACAAAATTCTCCTGTGATTATGCCTAGAAAGTAGAAGGAAAATCGTAAAAATCACCATAAATAGTTTAAATAGGCAAATAAGCAGTATTGATTAACAGCTAATCTTACTCCTAGGAAGATATTTGAAAAATTCTAGGACAAGTAAAAGTTCTCCACTGAGCAAAATTATTCAGCTATATCTGTAGAGACACGTGAAGAAATTGCGTGATTCGCACATATAAAAATAGGTCCCACAAGCGGTAATAATCAAAATTCATAAAAGCAAATCATTATGGAATAGTTTCACTAATTTCCCACTAAATTAATCGTTTATTTATTCGTACAAAAAATTTAAAAGCTTATATTATATTGCTCGTTGTTTGCCTTTAGTTCGTAAATTTCCTTGGTTCAGTTTTTTGGCTAAAACGCGTGCATTATAAAATCATAAACAATGCCGAAAATTTTGTGATTTTGTTATAATTCTGCAAATTTACTATAATATTTTTCTCGATATATCTCCAATTTTGCCTGAATGCATTTTTATTACAGATTTTGAAAACAGCACCATCAAATTATTTACTGTCACCAGTAGAAACCAAGTGTGCTATTATCATTTCGAATCTACTTGTGGAATTTTGAACGCGTCTAGATGAATCGGAATATGGCGAAACTGGTTTACCGTCCAACATAAATTTATTGCCATTTTAAGACCAAACTACTTATTGGATATTTCTTTGTGCTTGTGGCATAATCATATGTTCCACAATGAATTAATCAAAATAATATTAGAATTGAAATTGTTATTATCAATTATTATTGATAAAATTATTTAATATTAAATTATTTAATGATTATTATTAATAAAATTATTTAATATGCCATTGTGCACGAGATGGCCATCACTGATCGAACTTGTGATAAAGCATTATTAGACAGTCGCATGTTTTGAGGTATGTTAGTGAGAATAAGTGGTTAACGCAATTATTATTGCTGATTTCAGTTATTGCCGATTTTCTAATAATTTTCCGCTATGACTGTATTTGTGATGCAATAAATATTTTTTGATAAATCATCGTTAGATAAAAAAATTGGGGAAATTATATATTTATTGAAAGCAGTAATGCAAAATATAAATAAAAGATTTAATAAAAAGATTTGAAATATTTTGAAATTAATTAAGATGAAATATTTTCTAAAGCATAAGTACGGGTGATATATAATTTATAATTTATGATAATTTATTAAATTATCAAATTTTTTCCAATTTTTACATAACTCTTTTCCCTTCTGTTCTCTTTTCGGAGCACTTATTTCCATCAACACACCACTTTTGTTGTAATAGTATAGCTAAGCGAAAAAATTAATGGAAGAGAAAGAGAAATAAGGATACACCAGTGGATCATGAAATTCACTGTCTACTGTGGAAAACAATGTACGGAGGGAAAGAATTCGATAATATGAAATCTTATTGTAATAATAGTATTTAATAGTGAGGATCAAACAAATTGCAAAGGTTTCTAAGCTTTATGAGGAGTGCGAGGATGAAATCATGCTCGACGTTATTTGCCCAATATTTTATTATGGAATGCGATATAAAAAATTCCAACATTCCAACAACAAGTCGCTTCAGTGGCTTAGCAAAGGATTTGATGGACAAAGCGAATAAACTTCGGAAAGATTTAAATTATTTAAATTATTATTGTTAAATTTTTTAAATTATTAAATTGGAAAAATTCTCATTGGACTTACAATTTCGAAAACGAATTGCGAATATCAGAATTTGTTGTGTTATGTCTTTTCGCTTCAAAAGGGTGCACCTTATAAAAAATCGTCAAAGAGTATCGTCAAAGACATTCTCCATGACAATTCGCAAAAGGTTGGAATATTCAATTTTCTATCTGATTTTCTTTCTTTTTTTTTTCTTTTTTAGTGGACTTTAATGGTTTTTAATTTTTTGACGAACATAATTTTTAAAATTCATAATTTAAAAAATATTTCTTCGGAATTCAGTTTTGAAAAAATTTAGCCGATGGCCGAGTCGCAAGTATGCATGCAATTAATAAACTGAAACTATGGAGGATGAACAAATAACTATTGCGTTATTTTATAAATTTTGTTGATATTTTCCATCTTTCACGAATTTGTTGCAATGTTTTCTCTTTTGCAATCAATTGTACATAAAGATTATATTAAATACTACCAAATTTAAATAAAAATTAACTTTTAAAAATGGAAAATAATAAAAATTCAACTTAAAATTATTTTGATGCATTTTCCATTTACAAATTACAAATTATTTGTTGTATATCAAAAAGTTATTTTATTTATATTTTATTTAAAAAATTCGAAGAAAATTTCAATCAATTTTATTTGCTTCATTTTCAAAATTTCTGATTTCTGATAGAACCAAAATTATTCAAGAAGTACAGTCGCAAAAATGTTGATTATTTGCGTTAAGGATGGTTCACATTGGTTTATTGCAGAGTTGTAGTTGTATGCATTATGGATAACCTTACGGTCGAAATCACTCAGATAATCCAGCTAAAACAGAAATACTGAAGAAGCATAGGGAAATGTAACCTAAAATAGTCCCATTCTGCACATTCACTAAATTTGAGTAGGTGGTTGCAAGGATTTAATTGAATAATCCAGCTAATAATATTAACATAGAATGGAATAGTACCTCTAAAGGCCCAATTTTCAAAGTAATGAGGCTATGAATCAATTTCAGA